GCTTTGAACTCACAGAGATCTGCCTGCCTCTGTCTCCTGAGTGCTGGGATTAAAGGCGTGCACCACCATGCCCGGCTATAATTTTCACTTTCTAATTATTTGCTGCTAGTATATAAATATATACTGATTTTTATACCTTGAAAAATCTACTAGTAAAGATTTGAAGACATTGAGATTTTCTACATAGATAATCATGTATTCAAATAGAGAGTATGACGTTTTTGCCAGTGTGTTTGCCTTTTACAGGTTTTTCTGGTGTTTTTCTTTCGTTACCATAGCTAGGTTCTCTGTATAGTGTTGACTAGAAGGAGAACGAGGCATCCTTATCTTGTTCCTGATCAAGATACTGCTCCCCAAGTATCCTGTCAATTCTGGGATTTTCTCAGATGCCATTTATCAGATGAAGACGTTCTCTTCTTGCTTAGCTTGTTGTAGAAGGAAACAATTCTGCCTTCGTGGTGAGACCTAACATTCTTCTCAGCAACTTGTCAAGAGACTGTGCCTCAGCCAGAACTGACTGCACAGTCAGTGGAGTGGAGACTCACTGCACAGTCTTCTCATGCAAAACCCAAGACAAACTATGTGCTATGACATAGCTCTTAAAAAACTTAAAGTACCCGAAATCACACATGGTAGCATCAAATCAAGAATTAATACCAGGGCAGGGGAGAGAGTTCAGTTGGTGAAATGCTTCCCTTAGAAGCACCAGTACCTGAATCCATGTAAAGAAAGCCAGGCATGGTGGCTCACGCTTATAATTCCAAGGTTGGGAAGATGGAGCCAGAGGGATCCCTGGGGCTTGCTGGCCAGCCTACTGACCCTCCATAGTGAGCACCAGGCCAGTGAGAGACCTCGTCTGAAAAAACAAGGTGGGCAACAGCTGAGGAATGACACCTGTTGGGTAGGTGTGTCCTCCGAGAGAACTAGCACTGAACCCCAAGAGACCCAGAGAGGGAGGGTCTAAGGACAGACACTGAGAAAGCCAGGAAGCGCTGAGGAAGCCAGCAAGGGGGGCATTCACCATCTTAGTGGAGCGGTGGTGGGGCACTGGCAGGCCACTGGTACGGTGATGGCAAATGGCAGAGCCGAGATGTAGGGGAAAAGCCCATAGGCTTTTGCGCCTTTGTAAGTGACCCCCTCCCGAAAAGCGTAAGCTTTGTTGGCATGCCCAAATAAATATCCTTATTTCCCAAACTGTAACTCAGAGGAACATTGTGTTGGTCCTGTCGGTAGGGAGTAGGGACAATGGAGCCTGGGAGCCAAGAAAGCGCATGCATGGGTCTCCCAGGGGAGAATTTGGAATTACAACACCCCGGGTTGACCTCTCACCTCCAAATGCAGGCATCCCCTGACTCCTACCCGCACAAACACTCATACACACACAACACAAAATAATATCATATAAAGGCAAACCCCAGTATTTGGATGCTAAACCAGATGCTTGTAAACAATCATGTTTCAAAATATTAGTCACAAAGAAGTTTTTAAATATTTCAAATTGACTGATAATGAAAACAGAACATATCAAAATATCTGAGATGTGGGGCAGGAGAGATGGCTCAGTGGTTAAGAGCACTGGCTGCCATTACAGAGGACCTGGGTTTGATTCCCAGCACCCACATGGCAGCTAACTGTCCATAACTCCAGTTCCAGGGGGTCCAATGCCCTCTTCTGACCTCCACAGGCATTGCATGTGTGCACTTACATACAGACAATACACTAATACATATAAAATAAAAGTGAATAAAATATATTTTTACAAATATCTGAGATGTGGCAACAGTGATACTAGAAAGGAAATTTGCACGTTTATAGACTTTAATTAGAAGAATGAGAATGCTATAACTCTGAGAACTGCCTTCACTACAAAGAAGGCAACGCCCAAGAGAGAACCCGAGATACTGGAGGAGGGGGAAGAAAAGGAGGGGGGGAGGAGAAGAAAGGGCAAAGAGGAAGAAGCGGAAGGGGAGGAGGGCAGGAGAAAAAGGAGGACAAGAGGAGGAAGAAGAAAAGGAGGAAGAGGAAGAGGGAGGAGGATAAGAAAGAACCCCAAAACGGAAGGAAAGAAAGAAACAGAAACACATTAGGGAAAAAAATTACAAAGCTAAACCCTCTTTAAAAACAAGAACATAAATAAAATTGTAACTTATCAAGAAAAATAGTAATGGAACAGAGACAGAAGACTCAAGAGTGGGGGTATCACTTCAGGTGCCACAGGTATTGAGGGTAACAAGCTCATTTTCGAGCAACTTTATGCTAATCAATTTGGCAACTTAAGAAAACCATCAAATTCCCAGCAAATGCAACTTGCCAAAGACAACATGAGACAGAAAGGAACATCTGAAGATCGCTGTGTTCCTCACAGAAGTTGAGTCTGTTGCCATAAACCTTCCAGCCAAGGGAACTCTAACCCCTGAGGATTTCACAAGAATTCCACCAAACATTAAAAGAGGTCGTAAAGCCATCAGTTCACAAACTGTTCCGGGAATCAGGAGATGGAACTGGCCGCTGTGCTTTATAGCACCAGCATAATCTCACACCCAAACATAACAGAGCATTACCAGAGACACCAGCCCTTGTGAGAGGAGAAATTCACAGGTTAACACCCTCCATCCAACTGCAGCCACACTGAGCTGCAGGCCAGTGGGAACCAGCAGCGATTCCATGGACCCCATCTTGTCAAATTTCACTCCATGATGTGTTTCAAGAGCTTGCTACATTTGATGATGTATTCATTTATTTTAAGAAAGGAGAGAGAGAGAGAGAGAGAGAGAGAGAGAGAGAGAGAGAGAGAGGACTAAATCGAGGCAAAAGAACACAAAGAATCAAATTATTGGTTTGACAGAAACCCAAATATAGTAACTAAGACCCCAGAGAAAAAAACTCTGTTGGGAGGGAGTTCGTGGACAAAATGACAGAGAAAACAAGAGGGAAAGAGCCCCACAGCCACTTGCCATGGTGTGGTATGGGAGCCTGGTAACTGTGAGTACAGAGACTCTGAGGGATGACCTGCACTGTCTGTTTTGGCAAAGGCACTCGTGGTTTCCACTGTGAAGCTCAGGGACCTTCCTGCTCAGAGTATCTATGACACTGAATGTCTTTAATGATTAAGAATCAGGGCCGAGCTGGGAGTGGAGCTCAGGGGCAGAGCTTGCCAGGAGGCAGGAGGCTCTGGGTTCTATTCACAGCACCAGGTTGGGGAGAAGGATGAGGAAGAAAGGGAAGGAAGGAGAAAGTGAGGAAGAAAGGATGGGACGGCGGGAGGGAGGGTAGGAAGGGCCAGTATATTGCCTGAAGAATAGAATTCGATTCCAGATCTCTAACCATAGGAACCTTCACAATCTGGGTGGTGCCCAGAAGCCCAGAAAAGCCCCAGCATTCACAGCATACAACACCCATATAAAGAAGATGGGTGGCCCTTCTGGCAAAGGACACAGGGCCTGAGCAAGGATTTCTGGCTGGCAGTTTGACAGCCTTGCTTGTTTAAAAGGACAATAGAAAGACTGTTAATATGGGAAAGGGGTTGAACAGGCCTAGAGATCATGGTGTGTGGATAGCCAGCTTGTGCCAGTGTGGTCTGTGGACCAGGTTGCCAGTCACCAGTGGCCTATCCCAGGACCCTGATGAGGACATTGAGAGACATACTCAGAACATTGACAGTGACTGGACAGTCCTGCTACACCAAAGTGGGCACAGAAGTTTAGTAAAATCCATGCCTAGTGTGTTTTACAAAAGCATCTGTCCAAGACTGTGAGGGGAGGAAAAAAAAAACAGAAAAAAGATGGTTGTCTCTCACTGCTGTAACACAATGTCCTAGACTAACAGCTTCACAGTGTCCCTTGAGGGTTGGCGGCTTTGAAAGTGGTTAATTTTTTTTTTAATATTTTTTGAGACAGAGTCTCATTGAGTTGCCCAGACTTGCCATGAACTCCTACACTTTGAGCAATCCTCCAGCCTCAACCTCCACTCCAGACCCCCAGTAGCTGGGATTACAGCTGTGCATTACCTTGCCAAGCTTTATTTACAGTGGTTAGTGAGGGTACTTAACAGCACTATACTTCACAGCTGAATTGGAATCAGGGCATGCAGCTCAGCAGATAGTGTGCCTGCCCAGCATGCACTGCACTGGATCCCCAACACCAAAAGCCAGGTGTGGTGGCGCACATCTCTGATCCCAGCACTCAGGAGGTGGCAGGATCAGACATTCAAGGTCAATTCTCTGCTATGTGGAGTGTTTGAGGCTAGCCTGGGCTACATGAGCCCCCCCCCATTTTTTTAAATGAAAATTGGTTTTTAGTATCTTCAGAATTACCCCGTGTTTATTTTATCTACACTTTCTCACCTTCTACTGTGTTTTCTGCATAAAAAAGAAGGGTATCGGTCAATGTGTCAGATATACCAAAATCTGAGTGTGTCGCCCACACAGGGTGTTTGATCCCACAGCTGAGCGCCCAGGTCCCTGCCACAGCAAGCATAGCAATCTGCAGGCACAAGGATTCATCTCTCTCAGATCTCACCAGAAACTTCTTAGTTTTCTGAGTCAGCCAGGATCTTGGCTTCCATAAGGTTATTCACAAATGCAAACTGGAAAGATCCTTCTTTCGCAATCTCAACCAGGCGTTGCGGGGAGCCTGTGGTCACGTACTCACCCGTGATGGGTTAGTTTCTCTATTTCCCGGAAGACTTACTCTAGAGTTAACGGACCCATAAGCCGCTGTCACTGCTCTGAATAGAGCCAATGCCACTGCCCCTCCCTCAGCAAAGACAGTCAAAAACCCAAGACCTTCCGTATTGGGTGTGATTTCATGATAAGCCCTTCTTGTGGCCAGCCTAGCCTGGCTCTGAAGGTGTGTTTGCAGGAAATGAGCCTACATCATTGTTACTGAAGTTGTTAGGGTCAGAGTCTGTAACCCCACCCCCATTCCCTGGCCCCCCATGCGCAATCAGCCAGGCTGGGCCTGCAGTCCTCAACTTGCCAATTAAAGAAACAGGAACTGATGGAAAGCAGGAAAAGGAGATTTATTCAATGAGGCCACATTGGGAAGAGAAACAGAGATCCCCTGACAGTCCCGCCACCAAATCCATCTTCAGGGTCTTGACATGAGGTTTAGGTTTAAAGAAGGGGCAAGGATTGTACACAGTTCAGCAGTCTTGGTCAAGGTGTGATTCACCATCATTGTCTGGGCTCCAACATCTCCTGCAAGATGGTCTGACAGGTTGTCAGAACCCTTTTCTCTTCTGGCTGGTACCAGGCTTCAGTCTTTTCCTTCTCCCAGCATGAGATTCCTCCAGAGGGAAATCCCAATTCCTCGGGGACATTGTTTTCCCAGTATCTGATTGCTAAGGGAGGGACACAAGAGAGTGCCTGGTTTAGAATAGCTTCATTCCTGGCACTGTTCTGTGATGCTGGTGGCTTGTCAGGGGGAAATTCTGAGTTGGGTGGATTTGGGAAAAGGGAATCTTAAGTCTGACCATGAGATCGCACTGAACAGGCAAAGGTCTAGTGGGGTCCTGGGCTTCAGCAGGCTCAGGAGCCATGCACTAGCACAAGACAACAGCAGACAACAGGAGAGTAGTCAGTGGCTTACTACTGATAGTACTCCACTGATAGTACCTCAGATCTCAGTAGCTGGCCCACTCACACCGGTGGTAGGGCAGGCCAGGCTGTTCAGGGGGTGAAGCTAGCAGAGGCTACCCATGTGGGATGTGTTCACAGGCATTCAGAGATGCAGCCAATCCTACCACCACCTTCCTCTTCCCAGCAGGCTGACTGCATGAGTATGCGTTCACAGGCACCCAAAAGTAGAGCCAGCCTTACCACAGCCACCTCCATGTCCCATCAGGACTGTCACTGCCCTTTGCTTGTTATTTAGTCACATTATGGGGGTAGTTCAGAAGGCAACCTAGTCCATGGAGGACCTCACTTCTGGGAGACCTATGTGACCCCACAATTCTGGGCTCATCTCAAGACTGACAGTCATCCAAGAGCAACTTGGGGCTGTGCCAGAGTCACCCTTAAGTCAACACTACTTCTTTGAAGTGACTCAGATCAGTCAAGTGTGGGCAGGTGTAAGACAAGCCACTGAGTGGGGACACGTAACCACCGGGCAGTTCCCTGGAGCCCCTCAGACCTCCTCCTCTCATCTGTGGCTTGTGCCTCCTTCCGAAGGAATTCACAGCAGGCTCTGACACTAGAGAGGGTGCATGCCCCTGGAGGACAGCAGCCGGGGACAGGTGCAGGCAGGCAGAGTCAACAAGGTAAATAGGCTCACATGGGTTCCCCCCCGGGGAGGGGGGCAGGAGAGCGAACCCTTAGGAATGAAAGTCAAATGAGAAGGGAGAGGGCAAATTAGATGACTGGAAGCCTGGGCCATGTCATGAAAGGTGGGGTTTAAGAGGAACACTGAAATGACTTGTGGGGGGTAAGAAGTTTAGTAGAAGGGTCATTAACACCATGGAGGGACAGACAGACGATGGTGGGGACTCTGAAGAGAGTTCAGGCCCCAGTGACAGAGGCAGATAGCATGACAGTGGCTCTGAACAGAAGCAGGCCAACATGGCAGAATCTGTGTCCCTTTTTATGACCCTCTGAGGATGGGAGTGATTTCACAGCACAAACCTGTAGTCTCTGAGTCCCAGGAAAGAGGAAGAGACAGGGGTTGGGAGCAGGGTATATGTCCACCAATACCACCTTTGATATAAGTTCACTTCCCCAGATGAAAATTCCTGGCACCTGGAAGTCTGTTAGCTGGAGATTCACAGACAGTGTCTCAGTACGTGCCCAGGGATATCCGTGAGAGACAAAGGGCTGCTGCCAGGATTGTGACCTGAGGATTGTGACCTGACCAGCAGTCTGCTCTGGATTCTAACATGGCATGCCACCACCTGCAGAGACGCCCAGGGCCACACTGAGAGCTGTCATCCCCAGCCTCAGTTCTGCTCGGTCTTGTGGCCCACTCATACCATCACTCTCCAAGGTCATGTCCATCCAGTTGGCCTTCCTCCTCCTGGTTGCTCTGACACTCCAGTGCCACCACACTGCCTGCCCAACCTCTACGCATGTTCCTTGTTCAGCCAGCCTGGTACTGTTGCTCCCTACTGCCTGCACAAAGGATCAGAAATATCTAACTCAAACCAGGCCTCATCAGAGAGGTCGAGTGGCTCAGAGAAGCCAAGTATGCCTTCATCCCTCAGAGCATGCTCAAAATGAGCTCTACCACTGAGCCACACCCCAGCTCTGACTAGAGGCAGACTATGTCCTTCCATGTGCCTCCCACCTGTGCTGGGCTCATGCCTGATCGTATAGCTCCAGGCCTCAGTAAATACCATGAATGGCTCCTAAGGAATGACACTCAAGGTTGACATCTAAATCCACATGTGTACATTTGTACATGCATCCGCATGAACACACACATAAATAAATAAATAAATAAATAAATAAATAAATAAATAAATAAATAATAGTTTAGAAAGTAAAAGCAGACAGATGGAATGACATCAAGCCAAGAAGCTCCTGTACCACAAAGCAGAGTGGAGAGTACAGAGCAGCCTGCAGACTGGGGGGAAGGATTTACCAGCTGTTCATCTGGTAAGGGAGCTAGTGGGGAATGGAACAGCAGCTGCCGGAATCTCATGCCTATCCATCACCACCCTGGGGACATGCCTGAGTTTCCAGCACAGTGCTCTCTTCCAGGACAACTTGCCCTGTGTGGGTCTGAATCCCTTGGTAGTCCAGGCATGGTCCCAGCTCACCATGTACATGTGTGGTAGCCCCAGCACCACCTCAGCCTGCGCATGACTACTACTGGGTTGGGGGCTATGGACATCTGTGACTCAGCACCATTTTCAGTGGAAGGTGGAGGTTCTGAGGACTTGGGAACTTGCCTGCCCTCAGCCATGCTAACTAGTCAGAACATAACCACACTGGTGATGGCCCAGGCCAAGGCCTGTACCTGACTGGCCTAGTGATACCACTATCCTGTCTTGATGTAGAGGGAATATTCTCCACCAAGGATGAGCTACCAGAGTCCTTTGCTGGTAGATTTCAAATAGGAATCAGTAAAGTAAAGCCAAGGCCTTCACTGACGGGTATAAGAGGCAGATTCAGGACATAACGCCTGTGCAAACTGCAGGCTGCTCCCAGTGGCCCAGACTCTAGCTGGCCCTGCCCCATGGGCAGTATGGTTAGCCATCTGGCCCTACTGGAACTCAGAGTGGCCCTGCTGTGATAGGGGCCTGGTGCTTCTAAGAGTTGCCCCTGGAGGAAGCAGACAGGTGAGTGGTATGTTTGACTGTTCCTAGTTCCCCATGTTCTGAGGTGGTAGCATGTGCCTCAGAGTCCATTTTCCTGTTTAGATTAAAAATAAAGAGCCAAGTTCCTTGGGATGCTGTCTTCTGGTCCTGTCCTATGGCTTTGCAGTGGGTGGTTAGGAATGGAGACCCCGGTCTTATCTCCCTGCCAATTCAGTGTAACCTTCATTATAGCCCAAGATGGGGACCCTGGGGGCGCAGGTCTGCATCCCCACCATAGGCCATGCTGGGCTCCAGCAGAGCAGCCATCTCTGTCTCCACTGGCAGATGAGGACTGGTAGAACCATCCACCACACAGGCAAGGGCTCACTGATAGAATCCAAAAGCCTATGAGCCTGGCAAGGATGGGTGCTCAGTGAAGAGCTTTGGAATGAAAGACTTCATGCTTAATTATTTGGTTTATAGAAGACTCGAAAAATATTGAGCTGGGGAAGACTCAGTAGATAAGTATTTGCTGCCCAACCTCAAAGACCAGAGTCATTCAGATCCCAGAACCCATGTAAATGCCAAGTTGGTGTGGCAACTGCCTGTAATTCCAGAATTTAGAAGTTGGTAACGGGATTCCTGAAGCAAGTTGCCTATCTAGACTAGCCAAATCAACAAGCCCCAAGTTCATGTGAGAGACCCAGGTCAATGAGTAAGATAGAAAGTGAAGGAGGAAGATACCAGGCATCAGCTTCAGGCCTTCCTTAACATGCAGGCACACACACACTCATATATACACACACACATACTCTCTCTCTCTCTCTCTCACACACACACACACACACACACACACACACACATTCTCTCATGCACACACATGATATTCATGTATAAGTGCAAAAAAATTACAATTTGAGGGGCTTGGGGCTCAGTGGTAGCACAGTTTTCTAGCAGTAAGGCTTTGGGTTTGAATCCTAGCACTACAGAAAAAAAGTTACGGTATAGAACACTATTAGGGTAGCTTTAGTGTCAACTTGACACACCTGGGGAGAGGGAACCTCAATTGGGTAATTTCCTCCATTGGTCTGGCCTGTGGCCATGTCTGTGGGGCATTTTCTTGATTTTTGAGTAACGTGGGAGGGACCAGCCCACTGTGGGTGCCCCTGAGCAGGTGGCCCTGTACAGTATAAGAAAGCTGACTGAGCATAGACGAGGGGAGCAAGTCAGTAAGAAGCGTTCCTCCATGGTCTGTGCTTCATCTCCTGCCTCTAGGTTCCTGCCCTGAGTTCCCTCCTACCTTGGGCTCCCTGATGAACTGTGACCTGGGAGATGTAAGATAAAATAAATCCTTTCCTCCCCAAGTTGATATTGGTCTGAGTGTTTTGTCACACCAATTGAAGGCAAACTGAGACAGTTTAGAACTGTCTTTATCTAAGAAATTTGGTAAATTAATGGTTCCAGTATCCTAGGGATTGTGGGTACATATAACAAAAGAAATTCAGCTATCAAAGAAAGTACAAAGGCCAACAAATGCATTGACGTTGTTCATAATGGTACTTATATGTTGCACAAGATAAATTAGATGGCTTTACATAAATAATAATTATGTCAATGCAAATTAAAATGAGAGCATCTCTGCGAGATCAGCTGGTAGACTCCAGCGCCTGATCTAGAGAGGTGCTCCTGGGGGGAATGCAAGTCAGCATGGGTTCTGGAGCAGAATCTGAAAGTGCCTAAATACAATCAAAACTGCATATCCAATACAGTGCCAGCACACCACCAAGGAGTGACGCAAAGCCTCCAGACAGCCAGGATGCCCATCAGGCCAGGAGGAGCTGGGAACATGGTAACCCATGGACAGGTGAAGGGTTACTAACTGGGAAGAGTGCTTGTGACTTGCTGAGAGATGGCAAGGGTCAGGTAACTGACCTATGCCCGGCATGGAACTATTGGGTATATTCACAGGTGATGTACATTCGTGTGCACATAGGAACGTGTTACACAAATGTGTGTTCATAGGTGTGTGCACACAGATATGCATTCATCTGCTCTTGTAAGTGCAGGAAGGGTTAGTAGTACCATGAAAACGGTGTTATTGGGAGATG